TCTTATTGAGCATTTGATGTTTTTTAAATAAACGAATTGATTTTCTAGCATCTGTTTCTCTTTTAGAAATATCTTCAAATTCTTTTAATAATAAATCTCCTGTTTCTACATCTCCAATAAGACAATTTAATGTAGCTAAATTAATTAAAGAAGTAGGTGACATTTCTTCTTCATTATTAATACTTTCCATAATTTTTCTAATTAATGAAATTTCTTGTTCTATTGAATATAATCCAGTGAGATATTCTTTTGTAGTCATATCTTCTGCATTAATAGGATGTTTTGTAAATGTATGAATTTGTTTTGAATTTCCTAATCTTAATAATCCTCTAATTGCTGCATTAATACTTCTAATATTATTTCTATTATCCATACAATAATAAGTATACATTGCTTTTTCAACTAATCCAGCTGCAAAATATCCTTTAACTGAAACAGTTCTTGTAACTTCATTTGCTTTTAATCCTAATTGTTTCATTCTTATCCATGTTTTATCTACTAAAATTCCATCACCAACTCTAGCAGCTGAATTAATAATATTAGTAATTGTATGAAGATCTTCTTTAATACCACTTTCAATTAATTTTTTATATAAATAAATAACTTTTCCATAATTTCTTTCTTGTGCTGCATCAGCAAATAATTTATTAATATAAATTATACTTTTTTGTGAAAATCCTTCTTCAATTTCTTCTTCTGCTCTTCCTATTGGATTATATGGTGCAACATTTTTAGATACTTTCTCAAAATATTCTTCTAATGGATTTCCAATAATTTCTTCTTCTTTTTTATATCTTTGTTTTCTAATTTTCTTTTCTTCTTTATCTGTTTTCTCTTCTATTTTTCTTTCATTAATTTCTTTTGATGTTATATTTTCTTCACTCATTTCTTTTATTTTTTTAAGTTTTTATTTTATTTAGGGTTATTTATTATTTTGTATAATATATCATTGTTTCACCTTTTTCAACACAATTAAATAATTAAAAATGATGTAAAAGAATGTTATATAATAAGAAGATAAATAAAGATTTAATGATAATAATAAAAGAGAGTAGTAATTATTTCAATTAAATGAATATTAAGGAAGAGGAATAGAATTAATAAGAGCATATTTAGTTCCCATTATTTTATTAATCATTGAAGAGAATACTAAAGACTCAGCTTTATATTTTCCAAATGATTTACCTGTATATTTTTTAACTATATCAGATGCATCAATAACAAAAGATTTTCCATTTTTTAATTTATTTGTATTAAATAATGTTATATGAAGAATAGCTTCATTTTGATTTTGATTATTTAAATATTTATTAAAAGTTTGTTTAATTTCTTCAATAATTTTATTTATTTGTTCATCATTTGTTTTTACTTTAATATAAATAACTCTTGTAGCTTCTTCATTTCCCATAGCACTAATTCCACATAATTCAAATAACAATGGTTTATTATTTAATATTGAATATATTCTTGGTGCCATATCTTCTAATAATTTAGATGCAACTTCAATTTGTTGGTCTGTACAAATAGATAATGTAGTTAATGTTAAATGCATTGCTTGAGGTTTTTGAAAATAATTTGGATTAAGTCCATCAATTTTAATCAATTGTCTATTTTATAAATTCTTTTTTTTTTTTCATATTTTCATTATTTTTTTTTAAAATATATTTATTTAGAGTAATAATAAAAAATAAACAAACTCTTGAAATGATTCTATTTGTTTTAAAAGGTCTGTTGATTTAAATGGAATTTGAATAGTATGTGTATTCTTAAGAGAACAAAAAACATTTATACATACATTTTTTAATCGTTCCATAGCTTCTCTAACTTTATCTTCATTAACTCCTTCAATTCTTACTAAATCAGGTGTATCGTCTGAACTTGCAAATGCAATTTTACATTGACATTCTTCTTTAATTGGAGTAATATTAATTCCTCCTTTTCCAATAATTTGTCCATGAAGTTTATTAGGAATTAATAATTTAATTGTACAATCAGTTGTTCTAGGTGTAATTTCTGCTTTTTTGAATATTTCTTCTACTTGTTCTTTTGAAGATAATGATGGAATATGAATACAATCAGGTTCATCACAATATTCTTTCATTTCATAATTTATTTTCTCTGAAATTTCATTTGAAATACTGAGATGAGGTTGAATACTTTTTTTTACTCTATATTTTCTGTTATCAACTTCAATAATATCGTATTCATCAAGACTCATCTTTTATTTTTTTAGTTTTATTTTTTCTTAAAAATTTAGATTTAAATATTATTCTTATTATTATTTTTAACTTTAAAAATTCTTGATAAATAAAATTATATAAGATTCAATATAAGAAAAAAAAATATTAATAATATATAAGAAATTTATTAACAAGACTTTTAATTACACTTTCTTCTTTAAGTTTTCGAGATATAATTGATTCAAAGAACCAATGAATTTAAATATTCATCTGTTGTTCCAACAAGTCCTTCTTCTTTCATTAATATTAATTGTTCAATAAATGCTGCTTTCGAATATTTATCCCCTCTCATTGCAATATCAATATATTCTTTAGGAACATTACAATATAAAGCAATTCTTTTATAAGTAGGAATATAAGGTTTGATTCTATTGTAATTATTTTCCATGCTTTAATTAATGAAATAAATAGTTTTTTAGTGTCTTTTTATTCTCATAGTTTGTCCTTTCGTTTGAGTTCTTTGATTCTATATCTGTATAATTTCTTCTATTTATAATTCATCGAGATTCTTCTTGACGTTTATTTTTTTATTTTTTTAAATTTATTTTAAGAATAACATAAAATAAATATTTATGTTATTTAAAAGAACTTAAAAACAAAACTAGAAAAAAGAAAAAATAATGTCAGTGAAAAAGCCAAGATTTGCTGTTTTACTTGAAGATTGTGAAAATGGACAACATGGAAATTTAACATTTGTGTCATACTTTCTTCAAAATGAAGATGATACTTCTTTATCAAATTGGAATGGAGAGTTCTTGTTTAAAGATGGAAGTTCATTATCATTTACTGTAAAATGTCCTGAACAATACCCAGCAGAAGTTCCAGAAGTTACATTCAAAAAAGTTCCTCGTTGTACTTCTAAAATTCAATTCAACAGAAATACTGTTTGTTATTGTTAAAAATTTTTAAAGAACAAAAAAAATACTAATATAATAGATAAGTCCTGTTTGTCAAATTTGCAAAGATTGGTTGAATATTGATTATAATAAACGAAATCTTGATGCATTATTCACTCTTATTCATGATAATTTGAAGTAAATTAAATGCTTCTTTTAATATATTTTAAATGATTTTTATTTTAAAAATAAAAAAAAAGTGATTCAAAATATTTATATTTAGTTTTGTTCAATATATCTTATTTTATGAATATTTGGACACTTTTCAATATAAATTGATTGACATTGAAATGGTAATAAAATATTTTCTATAAATTGACATCTTCGAATAATTAGTTTTGAAATAGAACAATGTGAAAGATCAATATTTTTAATCTTTTTTCCAACAATTCTGAGTGTTGTTTGAATAATATTTGAAAGAATAACATTTGAAACTTGATAAAAGACTTCATTATAGAATTGTTTTGAAGGAATAAAATTATTAAGATTCAAAATAACTACTGGAAGAGAATTTTTAATAATGTGAATAACTTCTTTATTGAGACAAGCAATATTTGTTTTACTTTTTGAAGAAAAAATAACATAGTTAGAATTAATATGATGAAGATCAATATAACGTTTTTTAGTTTTTACTATCACTCGTTTACATTTAATTTCTTCAGATAATATTCCATTATGATAAGATATTGTTCCAATATTTTGAATATTCCAGTTATTAATTGTTCCACTTAAATGAATTCTTGATATATAATTTCCTTTTATTTTTTCAATAATAGAATGTGATTGGATTGTTAATTTAATTAGATTGTTAAATTCAAGAAATTTAAATCTAGAGTTAACAACTCGAACAAAATGAAGACTCATTGGAAGTTTAATAAATTTAATAGAACAATCATAAAAAGAAATGTATTGAAGATTAAACATGAATAAATCAAGAGTATCTGTATTAATTTCAACAATCATCTTTTTTGTTTGAGAACACCAAAAATGAATAACATCATAAATAAAAAGAGGAGTATCTATATAGTTATCTGTAAAGTTTATTTTTATTTTTGTTGAGAAATAAATACCACATAAAGGAATTGTAATAGGAGTAATTATTGATATTTCAGAACAACAACAAACTCCAATTTTTTTTAATAATTTTGAATGAGCTAAGTCAATTTCAAAGTCTTTGCATTGATATAAAGAAAGAGATGTTAATGTAGTTAATATAGAATGCCAGTTACTTTGTATTCGAGTAAGATTTAAACATTCAATAGGAATATTGTTTAAGTTAAATTTAGCTTGTGGTGCTTCTATACTTAATATTTTTAATGATTGTGGAAAAACTAATTCAAATGAATCTTTATTTTTTAGTGTTATACTTAAGTTCTTAAGATAATAACAATCCTTAAGATTAATATGTTTAATGTCTTGAATCTTTTTTGAAAAGATTTTGATATTACATGGTAATGAATTATTAATTGTTTCATATTCTTCTTCTTTAAAATAATTTGGATCAACATAACAAGAATCAAAATAATGAAAGTATTGTTCAACTTTTCTTGTTAATAGTGCTATATGAATTTGAATAGATGGATATTCATGTTGAATTGTATAAATTTGAAATTGAAGAATATCTTCATCATATATAGAATAAAGAATAAAATGATATTTTGTTCTTTGAATATCAACATTATGAAAATCATAAATGATTGTTTCAGGAAATCTGAATTGAAAAAGTACATATACTGTTTTCAAATTCTTCAATTGATTTAATTTATTAAAATTAAAATAACTTGAATATCCAATTTTTAATTTTTTTAAATGAAAGAAGAATGGAATTGAATACATAAATTCATCAATACAATGTAATGTCAAACGTGTAATTGAGTATTCTTCAATTTTTGATAATAACTCAATTTGATTAGTGTTAAAAGGTTTAATAAAAGAATAAAAGATAGCACATGATTGAATTGTTCTTATGAATGTGATTTTGTTATTCCACGACCGTTTAAATTCCTCTACTTCTTCCAAATCTTTTAGTTCATATATTGTTTCTAAGTTTGTGAAGATATGTTTATTTTTTGAAATTTCTTTAAAATTGATATTAAATGGATTAATACGAATTGAATGAATTGTTTCTTGACATTTTTTATTAACACATAAAAGTGTTTTGATTGTAGTGATTGAATCACAATACAAAAGAATATTCATTAAATACACTCTTTCAAGTAATATTTTCCTTTTCATTTACTATTTTTTATTTTTATAAACACATTTAAATAACCATTGTCTTTTCGTGATATTATAATAATGATGTTTTATGGTTTTGTATCGTTTTAATTAACAATTCTTCTGATAAAATTCAACAGAAAAAAAGAAAAGGGTTTTTCTTTTCATTATTTAATTCAGAACACAATGATTTTATTTCAATATCACTTTAATAAAATGGTTATTTCATTAACTTACAATAATGTATTTTTTTTCAACGAACTTTTATGATATTTATATTATCTAATGATATCATTATACTCTAATATTTCTGTTTTTTTTTATTTGTAACTTATAGATTGATGAATTTATAGTTATGTGAATTTCTTTGTTTTTGTCAAATACAAGTTTTTTGATTCTTCAAATTGTTTGATTTGATTTATTTACTTCAGTAATTAACATTTTTATTAATACTCTGCACTTTTTTGTTTCAAGATGGTATGATTTAGTGATTTTTTCACTTTTAACATAGTTTTGAATAAAAATAACTGTTTCTTCATACGTCTTCATTACATTATGAAAATTAAAATGATCCTTGTAAGACTTGTATTCTTTTTACACTAGTCAATTCTTTTTTCAATACTTTGAATAAAATAAATCTACCGACATTATTTATTTATTCTATTTTATTGATAAATTCAATATCTAATCCTATCTTATTTTTATTCATTTCTTTAATCTTTCTATTTCAATATATTCTTTGATATATACCAATAAATGAAATGAAAAGTAATTTAATTATAAAAGACTGTTGATGTATTAAAGAAAGTGGTGGGTACTGAATATAGTATTAGAGTAAAGAAAATAGTTGAAAGATAAAAAGAAGAAACGAAAGATATAGAAGAATAAGAAAACACAAAGATTAGAAAAAGAATAAATAATGTTAGATAAAAAGAAGAAAGAAACAAGAAATATGAAAAGAAGAAAATAATAACAAAAGGAATAGAATCATACCACAATGAAGAAAAGAAGAGATAATATGAAATGTAGAAAAGAAGTAAAAATGCTAAATTAAAAAGAAAATGAAATGAAAATCACATAATTTTAATAGTATAGATAATAATAAAATACTGGAAATGACAAAGGAAATAATAAAGAAAAAGGAAACAGAAGAAAGAATAAAATAGAAATATAATACATAAAAGAGTTAAATGAAGAAATAAAATGAGAAAATATAAAATGATAATTGTTATAGAAATAAAAAAGTTATAGAAAAGATAATGAAAGAATATAGTGAATATCGAGAGTTCAGAAAATACTATATTTATTATCTTTTTCAATGAATAGTTTTTTTTTAATTATATGTTTTTCATACTAATTGAATAATTTAAAAAAAAGTTAAGAAAAGAATGATTTAATACATTATTTCAAATCATTATATAACATAATCTAATTATTTGTAAATTAAGAAAGTAATTTGTTTGTAATGTAAATGTCAAATAAAAGTTGATAATTTGATATATTCATTTCATCATTTTAAATTATATCATAAATATATAATAGAACTAATTCGTATTTTAATAAATAATTATATTATTAAACAAAGAAGTTATCATAATTTTAATTAAATTAGAAATAGTAACATTAAAACATTAAAATTAATTCATTCTTCTTATCATACAATACATAAAAAGAAAATTGGAATATCATTCATGTTTAACATTCAACACAATCAATCATTCAATTATTAAAAATAAAATTAATATGTTAGTATTCTTCAACTAATTAATTCATTTTTATCATATATGAAATATAATTGAAATAGTCATTACAACTAGATTATCAAATTGAAGTTATTTAATTATATCTGAAATATTATTAAATTGAAACATTCTTTATTTTGTTTATCATAATCACAACCAATAGATTCTAATTCAATTAACTAAGTTATTGATTTCATTAGATTAAATTTAGAATGAATAGAGATAGTGAATAAAATAAAGAAAGATATAATAAAAATAAAATAGAAATGAAAACATATTCATTCAGTTCATATTAATTAATAAGAGTCATGATAAAGAAGATTAA